CAAGAACATGCCCGGCGTCGTCATCGCCATGGGCCGCGTCAACCGCCCCAGCATCATGGTCTACGGCGGCACCATCAAGCCCGGCTGCACAAAGGCCGGCGACTCCATCGACATCGTCTCCGCCTTCCAGGCCTACGGCCAGTACATCTCGGGCGAGATCACCGAGGAGCAGCGCTACGACATCATCCGCCACGCGTGCCCCGGCAGCGGCGCCTGCGGCGGCATGTACACGGCCAACACCATGGCCACGGCCATCGAGACCATGGGCCTGACCCTGCCCGGCAGCAGCAGCAGCCCCGCCGAGGACCCGAGGAAGAAGGCCGAGTGCGAGAGCGTCGGCGCCGCCATCCGGAACCTGCTCAAGGAGGACATCCGGCCGCGCGACATCCTGACCCGCCAGGCCTTTGAGAACGCCATGATCGTCACCACCATTCTGGGAGGCAGCACTAACGCCGTCCTGCACCTGATCGCCATTGCCGACGCCGTCGGCGTCAAGCTCACCATTGACGACTTCCAGGCCGTCTCTGACCGCATCCCCTTCCTCGCCGATCTCAAGCCGTCCGGCAAGTACGTCATGGCCGACATGCACCAGATCGGCGGCACCCCGGGCCTGCTCAAGTACCTCCTCAAGGAGGGCCTTATCGACGGCTCCGGCATCACCGTCACCGGCAAGACCATGAAGGAAAACGTCGCGAGCGCCCCGGACTTCCCCGCCGACCAGGACATCATCCGCCCGCTCACCAACCCCATCAAGCCCACCGGCCACATCCAGATCATGCGCGGCTCCCTCGCCCCGGGAGGCTGCGTCGGCAAGATCACCGGCAAGGAGGGCCTCCGCTTCGTCGGCAAGGCCCGCTGCTACGACGCCGAGTCCGACTTCATCGACAGCCTGGAGAAGGGCGAGATCAAAAAGGGCGAGAAGACGGTCGTCATCATCCGCTACGACGGCCCCAAGGGCGGGCCCGGCATGCCCGAGATGCTCAAGCCCTCGTCCGCCATCATGGGCGCCGGGCTGGGCAAGGACGTCGCGCTGTTGACTGACGGCCGGTTCTCGGGCGGCTCGCACGGCTTCATCATCGGGCACATTGTCCCCGAGGCCATGGAGGGCGGACCCATTGCACTCGTCCAGGACGGCGACGAAATCACCATTGACGCCGAGAAGCGCATCATCGATCTTGAAATTTCTAAGGAGGAGATGGAGAAGCGGAGGAAGGCGTGGAAGGCGCCCGAGCCGAGATACACAAAGGGAACGCTGGCCA